CAGGCGCCCTCGTCTCCCTGGAAACAGATGCGCACGAGGAAGCGGCCCTTGCTCGGGCCAGACGCTGAGCCCGCCACCGTCATTCCCGGCTCGTCCAGGGGCGGCCGCTCGGCCGCATCTTCGGCCGCGCCGGGCCTGTTGGGGGTCGCCATGGCCGCCCCCTCCGCCTTCTTCCTCCTGCCCGCCTCTGCTGAGCCATTCTTCTTGCGGGGGTCCGCCGCCTCGCCGGCCGGGTCTCTCCGACGACCCTTCGGGTCCCCACGGCCAGCCGGGGGGAAGTCACCCAGACCCGGCGCAGCCAGGCCCGCGGGGGCGCCAAGCCCCCCGCCCACGCCGCTGCTGCTTTCCTCCTCCCGCCGCGGCGGCCGCGACTCGCGGAACTCACCCTTCTTCTCGGCCAAGTTCTTCACCACCTGGGCCCAGCCCATCTTCTCGCGGCCGCCCTCGTTCTCCTCAGCCCGGACCGCTGGGCGCGCGGGGGTCAGAAGGTGCAACCGCCCCCTCTTCCTTTCCTCCTCCGGGCCGCCGCCGGTGGCCATTTTACCTCCTTCCCAGCATCCTCCACTCGCTCCCGCAGCCAAAGGGCGCCCATCGCGCGCGGGGCTGTGGGGTTTGGGGTGCTTTTTTTTTTTTTTGAAATTTGATGCTACTTTGCCCCGCCCCGCCAAAAATATTTACAAGCGGCGCGGGGCGGCCAGCGCCAGTCCGGAACCCCCTGGTAACGGCTGAGCCGCGTTTCCGCCGGGGCTCGCCAGCCCCACCTCCTGGGCACCGGCGCGGGATGGGGAGCTTGGAGCGCGTCCCTGTCCCTTGCGAGGGTTTGGCAGCCTTGAGCCTCGCTCTCGAGGATTTGGTATTTCGCAAGCGGTCCTCGATGATTTCATTCAAGCAGCATTACCAACGGCCCACAGCCGAAGGCGGGACAGCGTTGAAGGAGATCTCGCCCATTTTGTTTTCTTTTGTATACCTTTTCTATTAAAACAAAACGCAGCTCTCTGTCCTCCCAAAGCGTACCACAGTGCGATTTTTTAACATTGTATTGTGAACATTTTCAAGCGTGCATAAAGTTGAATTTTACAGTGAACAATTTGACCTTTAGCTTTTTACTATTTTAACTGTTCACCATTAAAATTTTACTATACCTTTATCACACTACATCTCTATCCATCAGCCCTTGTTTTTTTTGACACATTTTCAAGTAAGTTATATTCCATTATTTCTTTAAAAAAAAAGATCTCCAGCATACTCGATGACAATTACAATTGAGCAAAGTGCCCCGAACTGTTATAAGCACAATGCAAGCCTTATCACATAGAATCTTCCAAGACAAAGCTGTAATTACCCATTTACACAGGGACTTGGAGATAAGGTTAGATCATTTGGCCAAGTGGCAGAGTTAATAGGGAGCCCCTAGTTATAAATAGATGACTTAAATTTATTTATTAAACTTCTTTGCTTTTGACCTGTGGATCAAGGACTATTTGCATCAGGCTCTCCAATAAACCTCTTTACACATCAATTCCCTGGCTAAAGTTAGCACTGGATGGAATCTGTTCCTCTATCATTTGCCTCGACTGGTTCTTTGCAAGTATGGATAAAATTTGGGTGGTTGAGGAGATGTGTTTAACATCTTTTGTCAGCATTGCTTTCTTTCTGTATAGCTGTACATTTCAGGGTGCTTCAGTGACCTTTCCAACTTCAGTGAGAGAAAAGGTGAGCTGTGGAGTCAGGGAGACCCTAGTGTGAATCCGAGTGCTTCCATTCTCAGTGGGTCCCGAGGGCCAACGACTTGGTTTTCATGGATCCGTTACAAAGAGGTATTAATATCTACTTGTCAGAGGAATGTGGGGGGTCGAGGAGATAACCTGTGTTAAAGAGTTTGGTGCGCAGTGCATTTCCTAGATAAGTAACAGGATTGGTTAATTTAATCGCTCGAAAATGCTATCAAGGGAACAGGCACCACCACTTTCTTTTCCTCAATTCCATTCGGTTAACTCCCCTCCCAGTTCCACAGTTCTTGGAATTCCATACAGATGTGACAGTATCTAGAAGCAGATGCGGGAATTTTTTTGCAGTGTCTTTTTTTAAAGTGTGATGAAAATCTTTTCCAAAAGGCTCTGAGTAGACTTCCTACCCTCCTCTTTAGCCAGATGTTTACTACTTGCATAGACTAAACCTGTAACTGGCAAGGGAAATGGGCCCACAGCCTCACTTAGAGCAGTCAGGACTGCCAGAGGGGGAGCTGGGATTAGGGCTGGGGCTCACCTCCTCTACAGACCATGCATATCTGAATAAGATCAGGGGCTGCTGGCTGAGATGGATGGGGAGAAATGGGTGTTGAGTAGGCAACCACCTGGGTTTGCCACATATTGCTACCTCCTACTTTTTAACTGTTTCATGGTACAGAGATTCCCAGCTGGAGTGCTGTGGTAGAGTAGGATCTGCAAATGGGGTTGCCTGACATAGTGATTCCTTCAGCTCTAGGAACAAGCCAGAGGGTCCTGGATGGCCAGAGTGCCCAGGTGATCACTTACCGTAGCGGTCTCTTCTGTTTACTACAGTGTGCAGTGCAATTTAAAACATTTGCCTATGATTTTAAAGAGGGGGATAAGGTTGGGAGCTCTGGCCTAGTATTCTTTTTTTTTTTAAGATTTTATGTATTTATTTTTATGGAGAGGAGAGGAGAGGGAGAAAGAGAGGGAGAGAAACATTAATGTGAGAGAGAAATATTGATCCGCTTGCCTTCAGTGTATGCCCCAACCAGAGACTGAACCTGCCACACCCAGGCATGTGCCCCAACTTGGAATCCAACTGGAGAACTTTAGCTTTGTGGGACAAGGCCCAACCCACTGAGCCACACCAGTCAGGGCTGGCCTGGGATTCTTTAGTAACATTTCCTGATTCAAGTTTAAATGATTTCAAATTGCTGTGGTACTTGTCAGCTTCCTAGTACTTGTCACATTTTGGTGACAAAATGTTTCAGCACGTAGGCACTTGCTCGCCAGGTGTAGCACTTGCTTGCCACGTGTAGCACTTGCTACAACTTGTATAAGTCACGATGTCACCTGGCAAGAGAAAATGCTTCAAATACTTTGTTGCTTGCTTGCCACTCAGAACGAATCAAGGACAAGTAGAGAGGTACCACTATATTTGCTCTAAATTATTTTTTAAACTGGAATGCACTTTTAAATTTATGCTCCATCTAGCAAATCGGGTGTGGAGAGAGAATTGGAGTGGGGCTGGAGCGGGAGCTGATACTACAGTGGTGCAGGCCTGAGAGGAAAGTGGAGTATGTGTAGGTGGTGGTAGTAAGTGCTCTGATTCCAGACATACGTTGAAGGTATTGCTGACAGATTTGGATGACTCCAGCAAAAGAGCTGTCATTTTGACTTGAGTGGAAATGTTTCTGGGGGAAAGATTGCACGCTAGTTGCCTATTCGGTGTCCAAATGGAGATTCTGAGTAGACAACTGTATGTATGTGGCTGGAATTCAGGGGAGAGGGTGAAGATGTCAGTCTGGGAAGCAACTGGATAGAGGTGGCATCGGAAGTCATGAGACTGGAAGGGAGCACATGGAGTGAGAGCAGAGAGAGAAGAAGAGAGGACCAGATCTGAGTCCTGGGGGAATCTGATAATAAAGGGAGAAGAGGAGGAACCAGCAAAGAGAAGAAAAGGAGGTAGGAAGCAACTCAAGAGAGTGGTTTCCTGGATGCCAGGTTCAGAAAGTGTGTCAAGGGAGGAAGGGAATGACCCATTGTGCCACATGCTGCAGACAGGCCACGTAAGATGAGAACTGAGACGCGACTGTAAGGTTTAGCAGAGTGGAGGTTACTGGTGGCGCTGACAAGGGCAGTTTCAGTGGAGAGGCAGACAGTGAGAGCCTGGCTGAAGAGGGAGAAAGGAATGGGAAGCAACGTAGGCAAACCTCAGTTTTGCTGTGAAGCAGAAATGGGAGGGGGGCTGAACGAAAGTGGTCGCTATTTAAAAAAAATTTTAATCCTCTCCCAAGGACATTTTTCATTGCTTTTAGAGAGAAAGGGGAAGAGGAACATCCATGTGAGAGGGGAGCATCCATCGGCTGCCTCCTGTACACGCCCGGACCTGGGACTGAACCGCAGCCTACATGTGTGTCCTGACCAGGAATTGAACTTGCAACCTTTGGTTACAGGGTGATGCTCCAACTAGTTGAGCCACACCAGCCAGGGATCACTATTTTTTTAATAGAAAACATTAAAATATATTGATATGCCAATGGGAATAATACAGAGGAGAGGATGATGGGAGAAAACGGGGTGAATTGCTGGGGAAGTATCTTAGAGAAAGCGAGAATAGGATTCAGTGCATAATTGTAGGAATCGGTCTTAGTAGACAAAATAAATAGTCCAAGGAGGGAGGAGAGTAGGTGGGCAAATGAGGTGATGTGAACCTTTGAGTTCACTGGTTCTGTGACTTTCTAAGTGAAATAGGAAGCAAAGTCAAGAGTATGGATGGGGAAGGAAGTGATGTAGGCTTGATGAGAAAGAAATATGACATAGTTCTTTAGGATGTTGGGCGGGACCTGCTGAGGGATATTTGAAACCAAGATGAGAAGAATGTATAGAGAGCTACATTTTGCCCTGCGAGATTAGACCCTCCAGGCGCTCGGTAGTCTGCGTCCGTTTCCTTGGAGACGCAGACCAAGAGGGAGCATCGAGTCTCCAGGGGAAATTTGAGTGGCCTGAGTTATCAGGCGATCCTCGCTGAGACAAGGAAGATGGAGAAGAAGCCGAATAAATAGACATCCCAAGAGATCAGTGGCCCACAGACTTACGGCGCTTCATCCATTTTCTCCAATGGCGAGCGTCTTTCCGAAGTAGGTAAAAGGAGCGTAGAGATGTGGTGAAGTACGCATGCGTGTCCTCCTGCCCAGCTCTTGCTGGGAGGTCCTCCCCGGACTTTGACCCCGCCCTCTCTCCGCCTACATCCCCGTAGCCCCGCCTCTCACTGCTGCTCTCTGGGTTCTGGCTTGGCTTGAGTCCCTAGTAAACTGCAGTTTTGGATTCGAGACTCCAAGCCTTTTTCACGTCCCGTGCTTGCATCCCCATGGGTTGGGAATGATAGAAGTTCTTTCCTGTCTCAACTTTTTCCAGACCTTTTCATTCTGGGAGTCGCTCCACAGTCCATAAGTTTCCGATTCTGGTGAGTTCGGGATGGTCAGGGCGCGGGAGGGGGGCTCGCTGATCCTCAGCCTGCTGTTCCTGCGGAAGCCACTGTCCCGGGTGGTAGAGTCTGGACACCTGAGTTCCAGGACCTACTGTGTCACACATTTGCTGTGGGACTGGCGCATGACTCCGAACCTCAGTTTTCTCACTACCTTATCAGAATATAAGGGTATATTATGTTGCTCTCTTATTTATGTTTGATTGCTGCTCTGGTTTCCCATTGGGTCTTTCCCATACTTTCTGTTTCTCACTGTTCTTAACACCTCACAGCTTGGAATGTGCTTAGTAAACTCTGGCAGATAAAAAAAGTGATAGCGTTTATGGGACACTTACCACATACTTTATAAATATCTCTCAGAATTCTCGCACCAACCTATGGAGGTCGGTTTATAATTAGAGCCAGTTTAAAGATGAGAAAATTGAGGTCCTGAGAGGTAAAGTCACTTGCTCAAGGTCACAGATATCTGTAAGGGGTGAAACTGGGGTTTGAACCCACCAGGCTGTGTGACTGATTCTGTTATGACTGGTAGGATTGTGGTCCATGGCAGCAGCCTAAGCCGAAAGTCAAGCCATCCACTCTGCTTCCAGTCCTACAAACCAGTGGCCCCAAGAAAAGCAAAATGAAGACTTGGATTAGCATCCAGCCAGGTGAGCAGAGTCACTTGGGGGCTGGTGTGGGAGTTGGGGATAGGACAGGGGATGTTCTTGGCTCTTGGTGATACCGTTTCTGAGGGGGTCCCCAAAAAACCCCCTGGAATTATCTTCTGGAAGGTGAGCACCTTGTAGTACAGGCTTCTCCCAATGGGTGAGTGTTCTAGAAATCCGTCTGTATCAGTGTACCAGCTGGCATTGTTGTGAGAGACTGCGTTTGGCTTCAGTGAATTTTTTTTTGAAGACTTTCAACATGTTTGCCCATTTCATGACGGGTGATGTAGGAGCACACCTGCCGCACTGTGCTGAGTGTTCAGCAGTTTTTGACCAAAAACAACATGACCCTCATGCCCCACCATTCCTATTCACCCAGTCTTGCCCCGAGTGAATTTTTTTTTGTTTCCCCAAATGAAAAAGTCCTCAAAGGGAAATATTTTGTGGATGTGCAAGAGGTGAAATAAAACACGGCAGCAGCGCTATAGGCATCAAAATCGACGAGTTCAAAAACTGTTTTAAGCAGTAGAAAAAGTCTTGATATGTGTATTGTGTCAAATGGAGAGTATTTGAAAGGTGACAAGTTTAAACATGTAAGAACAAATACACAATTTTTTATAAATAAATTGTTTTTTGGGTCCCCCCTTGTATGTTGCAGTAGGCGGGTTACTTTAATCAACAATCAGATTTCAAGTGTTAATACAGTAGCTTATGTCTCAGATATGTCAAAGTACATTTGTGGATCTGGGCAGGAGAAGGAAATCTTTTCTACATGATTATTCAGGGACCTGGACTCCTTTAACCTTGTGGCTGTGACATTTTGTAAGGCACTGAAGTCCTCTGCTGGATACTTCTGCATCCAGCAGCAGAAACAGAACAGAGAGAGAGCAAGAATATGGCCCAGATTTGAAGTGATACAGTATCACTCCCACTTATATATTCCAGTGGCTTCAACTCAGTCATCTGACCACCTGTTAGCGCAGAGGAAGGTGGGAAATGTAGTCCCGCTCTGTGTCCAGGAGGAAGAGAAAACAGGGCTTGGTGAATGCAGGATGATCTCGGCCACATCGCTGTCATTTCTGCCAGGGGAGTTCTGAGGCCTTGGCTCAGGCAGACATGGCTTCATATCTTGGCTCTGCCATTTACTGTCTTGGGAAAGGCATTTATCTTTCTGAGCTTCAGTTTTCTCATTTGTAAAAAGAGGACACTTACACTTTCCTGATAGGATTGTCGTGAGAGTTAATTGAGATCTTTTTAGATTTTATTTATTTACTTTTAGAGAGTGGGGAGGGAGGGAGAAAAAAAGGGAGAAAAACATGGATGTGTGAGAGAAACATTGACTGGTTGCCTCTACATCGACTGGTTGCCTCTCACATGCACCCCAGCTAGGGACCAGCCCATAACCCAGGTATGTACCCTGACTGGGAATCCTACCAGTGACCCTTTTGGCTCAGTTCATAGGCCAATGCTCAGTCCACCGAGCAGGGCTGAGTGAGATTTCTTTAAAGTATCATTGCTTAACCTCACCAGACCCAACACTCCTTTAATAACTACTATTTTGTGATATTCCTTTAGTGTCCTGGAATAAACTTCATAGGTAATATAACCTACTACATATATAATAAAAAGTTAACATAATGCCCTAACTGTAAAGTAAAAGGAAAGTTGTTTGTAGTTAAGTAACACATAGTTCAGTATGTAATGCTCAGGCTGGATTCCACTGGAAGACACGATAACTTAGAAGCGTACTCATCGGTGTTCAGTCCTGGTGAACGGACCATTTTCAGAGGCAACCACACATTGATGTTTCTGTCCCTCCCCTCCCCTTTCTAAAAATAAATAAATAAAATCTTTAAAAAAAAGAAAAATAATTTAAAAGTGTAAACATTAAAAAAAAATAGGAAAGAAAAATCTCTAGGCCAAGTAAAGAGTACAGACTGCTTGATCCGTAACAGAAAAATGAAATAAACAGATAAGTTGGACTTCATTGAAAAAAAACAAACAAAAACCTTTTGTTCTATGAAAACTTCTGTTAAGAGGATGAAAAGACAAGCTACAGACTTGGGGAAAATATTTGCAAACCCACATATTTGACAAAAGACTGCTGTGTAGAATACATCAAGAATTCTCAAGCCCTGGCTGGTGTGGCTCAGTGGATTGAGCGCTGGCTTGCCAACCAAAGGGGTGCTGGTTCAATTCCCAGTCAGGGCACATGCCTGGGTTGTGGATCATATCCCCAGTGGAGGCATGTGAGAGGCAACCACACATTGATGTTTTTCCCTTTCTCTTTCTTCCTCCCTTCCTCTTTGTCTAAAAATAAATAAATAAAATCTTTCAAAAAATTCTCAAAACTCAACAGAAAAACTATTCATTTAGGAAACGGGCAAAAGACATAAAGAGACATTTCACTGAGGAGGATATACAGATGGTAAATAAGCACATGAAAAGATGTTCAACATCATTATCCATTAGGGATATGCAAATTCAACTACAGTGGGTTGTCACTGCACACCTCTCAGAATGGTTAAAATGAAAATATAGTGATAACATCAAATGCTGGCAAAGAGGAGAAACTGTATGATGCATTCATTGCTGGTGGGAGTATAAAATGGTGCAGCCATGCTAGAAAAGAACGTGGCAGTTTTTAATGAAACTGAACGTGCACTTCCCATAATGATCCAACAATTGCACTTTTATGCATGCATTTCAGAGGAATGAAAACTTACTGTCACACCAAGACCAGAGCATGAATATTTCATAGCGGCCTTATTTATAGTACCCCCAAACTGGAAACAATCCAGGTGTCTTTTAGTGGGTGAATGGTTGAATAATCTGCGGTACCTCCATACCATGGCGCGCTAGTTGGCAATAAAAAGGAAAGCACTATTGATACACTTAATGACCTGGATGAATCTCCAGAGAATTTTACTGAGTTAAAAAAAAAAGAAAGGCCAGTCTCAGAACTTACATACTTTATGATTCCATTTATATGACATTCTGGGAATGACAAAATTATACAAATGGAGAACAGATTAGGGATTCTTTTAAAGATTTTATTTATTTATTTTTAGAGAGGGAAGGGAGGGAGATAGAGAGAGAGAAACATCAATGTGTGGTTGCTGGGGGCTATGGCCTGCAACCCAGGCATGTACCCTGGCTGGGAATCGAGCCTGTGACACTTTGGTTTGCAGCCCACGCTCAATCCACCTAGCTACGCCAGCCAGGGCAGATTAGGGATTCTTAGGGTACAGAGACAGAGGTAAGGAGAGGATGGTAAGGGGAGGGAAGTGGGTATGGTTATAAAAGGCAACATGAGTGATCCTGTGGTTAGGAATTGTTCTGTATCTTGCCTGTCTTAATGTCAATATCCTGGTTGTGATACTGTAATTAGTTTTTCAAGATGCTACTGTTGGGAGAAACTGAGTTAAAGGTACATAGGATTTCTCTGTATTGTTTTTTAAAACTGCATGTAACCTGAACTTATCCTAAAAAGTTTAATTTAAAAAGAAGATAAACCAGGATTACTACCATTAATGAAAAGAAATACTCATTTAAAAAATATTTTATTTATTTTATTTTTAGACAGAGGGGAAGGGAGGGAGAAAGGGAGAGAAACATCATTGTGTGGTTGCCTCCTGTGTGCCCCCTACTAGGGACCTGGCCCGCAACCCAGGCATGTGCCCTGACTGGGAATCAAACCAGCGACCCTTTGGTTCCCAGTCTGGTGCTCAGCCCACTGAGCCACACCAGCCAGGGCAGAAATACTCATGATTAAAGCTATAGATTTTCCTAAGTACTTAAGTTCAATTTATAAATCTTATTATTTTTATAAATACTTGTAAGGGGGATTTTGGAACTTGGTTAAATTCCCCTAAATCTTTTAAGGTTCATTTAAAAATAAGTATATTCATTTTCATTTCTAAGTAATTCACTTATCTGATTAACAAAAACCATTGGTTATTAAAGTAAATCTCATACATATAATAAATAAATCCCTAAATACAGTTAATCTTAAGTTCTTTTAAAAGTTTTGGAATTTAGCTCTAGCTGGTGTGGCTCAGTGGATTGAGTGCCAGTCAGCTGACCTAAAGGCGGACAGTTTGATTCCCTGTCAGGGCACATGCCTGCAATTTCGGGCCAGGTCCCCAATAGGGGGTGTGCAAGAGGATAGTTGTTTCTCTCACATGGCAGTGTTACTCTCCCTCTCTTTCTCTCTCCCCCATCTCTAAAAATAAATAAATAAAAATTTAAAAGGTTAAAAAATATTACACTAATAAAGTAGAACAATCAGTGATAGGCAGCTACTAGTGCCAGAGGCAGCTGTTGCCTGGAGAGGTACCACTATTGTGACAAGCAGACACTACAGCGAGAGGCGGCCACCAAGAGCACAGGCAGCCACGCGGACATTCCTGTGATAGGTGATAATCATAATAAGGGGGAATACAGTTCGGTCTCCTGACAGGTGGGCACCAGGACTGTGCGGGAGCTGCTGCGGGGATGGGAGCCTGCCACCCACTGGTACCTCCCCTCACTGGCACAGCCCACTCTGGGTATAGACAACCCTGTTATTAGAAAGATCTTTATTTTATTGAGACCGAAACATCATTCCCTGTAATTATGACCTTTGGTTCATGTCTAATCCTAAACATATACTTAGCCAAAAATTAGCCCTTAAGGGACCTGAAAATTGGATTGGGTGATTTTCATGATAAATATGTAGAATCATTCTGCTATGGAAAAGAAAAAAAAGCAGAACAATCATAACAATATACTATATTAAAAGTTATGTGAAGGTTGTATCTCAAAAAATCTATTGTGTGCCCTGGGCGGTGTTGCTCAGTCGGTTGAGTGCCGCCCTGAGAACCAAAGTGTCACCGGTTCGATTCCCAGTCAGGGCACAGGCCTGGGTTGTGGGCAGATCCCCTGTGGGGGGTGCAGGAGAGGCAACCACACACTGATGTTTCTCTCTCTCTCTCCTTCCCTACCCCTCTCTCCTAAAATAAATAAAATCTTACGAAAATAGATCCTCTTAAAAAAATCTATTGTACTGTGCTGACCCTTCTTGGATGATACAACATCTGCGCCCCGCGTTGCAGCGAGGTGAGGGAAGCAGGCCTTGTGACAGAGCACTGGACTGCTGCTGTCCTTCTGACGACAGGGCAGCATGAGGATCGCCCAGCCGTGATGATGTCATGTCTTCCACACGCGGTTTCATGCCTTTCCCATCCTGACTAAGCAAGCACTGTGCACTGCGGCTGTCACTCGTGCAGCCTGAGGTGCGACAGCAAAACTGGCACAAATTTATTTTTCCTTCTTCACAATTTCACGGATAGAAGACTTGTTCTCATCGCAGACCGCAGCGACCTCAGCATATGATTTTTTTCTTTCCTTGTTGAGCACTTTCACCTTTCACTAGAAGGAAGCCCTTGGCAGCCTCTCTGTGGCGTGTCTGAATTGCCAGCAGCACGGCTCTCCTGCTTGGGGGTGCTGTCGAGGGAAGGGAGGGCACACGCGTGTGCACGGAGGCACTGTGGTCCCTCCGCGGCTCTGAAGACGACGATGCAGATGGCCACCGCGTGACTGAGGGGCAGGGGGCGTGTGGAGTGTGGAGATGCTGGGCGAAGGGAGGGTTCAGGCCCCGGGTGGGGCGAGCTGCACGGTGTGAAATTTCCTCAGGCTGCTCAGAACGGTGGACAGTGGAAAACTTGGGAGTTGTTTCTTTCTGGAATTTGCCGTCGTATGGTTTCGGATCGCGGCTGACCGCGAGTCACTGAAACCTGGGAGAAGGGGGGACCGCTGTACAGGGCATTCGTACGTCCACACAAAACCGTTTGAGTTTACTTCATCGCTTCAATACTTAATACTAAAATTTTCCAGGACTAAGGGTATCGGTTCATTAGAAATTATATATTTTTGACGTAAACCAGGGACTCTGGTGGGGCCTGAGAACTTGGCTGCAGCATTTGTGGTGACTTGGGTGATGTGTCTCCTGCCGCTGCAGGACACGCCGAGAGGGAGCAGGGGTTCTCGGAACAGGCCGTCTGAGTGCCTCGTTCTGACCGGGATCGTTTCCCTGACCTGCCTTTCTGGCAGGACCACAGCTCGTAAGTCCGTGGTAGCCGGTTGGGGTTTTGCGTCAGCCTTTGATCACGTGGTCCTGAGGCCCACTCCCAGGTCATTGGTGGGAACAGACGGCTAGTAATGTGTATCCAGCACTCAATATTTTAGCTACTCTTCCAAACACTTTATTTTTTAAAAAGATTTTATTTATTTATTTTTAGAGAGGGAAGGGAGGGAGAAGGAGAGAGAGAAACATCAATGTGCGGTTGCTGGGGGCTGTGGCCTGCAACCCAGGCATGTGCCCTGACTGGGAATTGAACCTGCGATGCTTTGGTTCGCAGCCTGCACTCAATCCACTGAGCTACACCAGCCAGGGCCCCAAACACTTTAAAACACAGTAACTTCTTACTTAATTTTCAGGACACCCCTATCAGCTAGGCAGGATGGTTATTTCTGTTTTGCAGAGGGGGTGATGGAGGGACAGAGAGACTGTGAGACCTGCACAAGGTCACACGGCTCATAGAAGGTAGAGCCTAGATTCCAGCTCCAGGCTGTCTGGCTCCTTAGTTCTTGTTCTCAGTCCCTACCCTGTTTGAGCTTGCTGGTGGCCCCATTGGTGGGAGAGGTGGTGGGGGCACCTGGCTGTTTCCTGTGCTCCTCCTCCCCTCTGTCCACACCCATGGTCACTGCGTACAGGGAAGTTCCCTGGGCTGCTCCCGCCCTTACGTTGAGGCCCAGAGTGGGGCCCAGGAGCCTCCTGGTGGGTGTGAGTTCCATCCTGTGCCTCACTGTCCCACAGTATAAAGCTGTGAGTGTGCAGGGCTGGGAGCCTGGGCCATCTCTTGTGGATTGCGTGTTCCCCGGGACCTGATCCCAGGCCTGCCTGTGCCCTCACTCTGTGCCCTGTCCCACGCCCTAGGGTACTCCAAGCCCACTATGTTGAGGACAGGCCAGCTGAGGAATCCACAGGAACCTCTGGGAATGCGGTTGGACTCTGCAAAGGCCAAATTCCGGCTACTGAAGGTATTCGGAGCATCCTCCCTCGGGCTCTGGGGCCCGGGTGTGGGGGTGGGGATGGGGGTAGCAGACATGCTCAGAGCGCTTTGTGAGTCTGACCTGACCCATTTCCTCTTCACAGCAGCTCCGTGGACACACTCGTCATCGTCCCTATTCTACAGATGAGAAAACTGAGGTGTAGGGAGATAAATGACTTGAGTGAGGTCACACTGCTTGAAAATGGCAGTTCCAGGGGTCAAAGCCAGTGCAGCAAAGTGCCGCTGTGTTTGGGACTCAGGAAAGAATCAGAATCCCTTTTCACTTCCCTGCATTAGGAATGCAGTCTGTGGCCAGTTCATTTTTAGGAAATTCCTATCATGGAATACAGTGCCTCTTGAAACAAGGCTTAGAATAGTACTATTAATTTGTTTACATCAACTGATAGAATTTTGAATCATTAATTTTCTCACCAACCATTGTTTTTTACAGCTTCTGAATGATGTTTCAAAATATTTGAAATAACTAAAAAAAGGAGTGAGCTTTCGTGTCTATAGCAAAAAGTATAGTACTAACCACTATAAGCATTACAAAATACCGTGGAAGAATTCTTAATTTCTCCAAGAAAGTGTTTAATAGCTCAGTGAACAGTGATTACTATATAAACAAATAGCAAAAAATGTATTTGCTTTGAAGTCTTTCTTTCCTTTAACCTTCAATTTTTGCAAAACAATTGAGAGGCAGCCCAGCATTCTTAAAGGAGGAACTTGTATTTCTGATGTTACTGTTAGTCTGACTTTAGAAGGGTTCATGTGTTTTTGTTTGATAAAAAATGAACTGAGACAATTTGGCTCGAAAACCTGTGCTCCTCCCAGTTTCTAACACTGCCTCTTGTAATCATTCATTTGTTTACTTAGTCAACAAATATTTATTGAACACTCACCGTATTGTGCCGTGTATAATGCACTCCCAAGTGTAATGTTCACCCATGTTTTTGGGCCAAACTCAGGAAAAGAATCTTTAGTTATAATTTTTAAATTCAGTTTATTTATTTATATTTAGAAACAAAAACAATTTTCATATTCCAGGGTATTATTTTGCATACGGATAGTTATTGCTTTCTAGAGTTACACTTTTATTTTTTAAAATATTTTATTTATTTATTTTTAGAGAGAAGGGAAGGGAGGGAGAAAGAGAGGGAGAGAAACACCGATATGCAAGAGAGACATTAATCATTGTCTCTTGCACACTCCAACTGGGAACCTGGGCTGTACCCCAGGCACATGCCCTGACTGGGAACTGAACCAGCGACCTTTCAGTTTGCAGGCTGGTGCTCAATCCACTGAGCCACACCAGCCAGGACTAGAGTTACACTTTTAACGCCTAAGCATAAATATAAGAATTAAAAACATTTATGTAGATACAGAGTTAGTACCACTCATATATAATGTGCATCCTTATTTTCCCCTCAAAAATTTGGGCAAAAAGTGCAGATTGTGCATGGTAAAATACGGTACTGTGCCCCAGGCCTGTGCCAAGTGCGGGGATTCACCAGTCCTATGGCCTCTGACACTCGCATTCTACTGGGGGAGACAGACAACAAACAAGTGTGTAGTACATGTGATGCTAACGGCTTATGAAGAGGCATAATGATAAGGTGAGGAGCCTAGAGAGGCGCAGAGGGGAGAGTGGCCATGACTGTTTCGGACAGGGTGGTCAGGGAAGGCTGCTACAGTGGTAACACCTGAGGGAGGAGTGCTCCGGGCAGAGGAGCGGCAGCGCAGAGGCCCCGAGCTGGGGTGAGGTTTGCGTGTCCGGAGCAGTTGATGAGGGGAAAGATGCTGGGATGCGAGATGAGCGGGATTGCTTGTGTGCGGCTCCATGGTCCACGATTCCACATGGTGTATTTAAACAGGAAGACCCTGGAGGGCTCCTGAGTAGAGTGGGGATGTGACCTGACCCCGATTTTCACAGGAGTCCTGAGGTGCTGCTGCCGTGTGGAGAATGGACTTGTGGAGACAAGGGGGAAACAGGAAGGGAGTAGAAACCATCCACTTGGTTTGTTCTTGAAGATGGAGTAGGATCCTGACTCTGCCTCTCAGCCTCAGGACGATTATTTATTCAATCTACAACTCGAGAGAGAGTGTCTACTGTGTGCCAGGCACCATGCCAGGTGCTGGGGACATAGCCATGAACATGGCACTCAGAATTTGTGCTGTTATGGCGCTTCCGCTTTAGTGGCGGGAGACATAAGTGAATCTAAAACACCCGGAGAATAGGTACTCGTCAGCTCATTCAGCCCACACTTAGGGGCTCTGGGCGACGTCCTGTGTGCCGGAGATAAGAATTGTGACAAAACGACTGATGCCCCTGCCCTCTTGGCTGTGACATGCTAGGGGGGACAGACAGGAAACAAGATAATAAGAAAAATATGTTTTGTTGGGTGGTGATAAGTCCTTGGAGAAAAACAAATTGGGAGCGGGGAAGACGTAATTATAAACTATAATTAGTAGTTACAGATTGGTGTAAGGGTCAGGAAAGAAGCAAAGAAAGGTTTCTACACTAGATCTAGTGGCGAGATGTTAGCAATTATCATTCAGTCTGCCTCCTTGCTTCTCCTCCAGACATGGCCCATCACCTTTTTTACCTATCTGGGGCATTTTCTATTATAATGACTATTACTACTACATTTCATTGATTCTAGGGAGCCATTGATAATAAGTGGCGAGAGAAGATCCATTTCTAGAGCAGGGGCTATTAATTCCACAGTTTATCCGAGTGACTGGGAGTGGGGTGTGTTAAAAGCACAGATTCTCAGTGGGCCAGAGACTGGCCTTTTTCACAAAATGCTTCTGGTTCCTGTGGGCCAGTTTTGGAGATATTTTGGGGTGGAGATGTGGAGGCAAGATAGTGGAGTGACCTCAGGTAACTTACCGACTCTCGCTGACCCTCAGTTTCTGCATCTCTAAGGTGGGGCTAATCATAGTGCCAGGTGAGGTGGTAGGTGTGACGGGCTTAACACTGTTCCAGGCACATAATGAGCACCCCATAGGTTTGCCCCCTGACTCTTACTATTATGTGAGGAATAGAGGAGCTGAGGGATAGTAAGGCGGGAGGGTTCTGGCAAAGGACGGAGAAATAAGGAAAACGAGAAGGAATAAGGGAAGAGCACAGAGGTACGGCAGAGGTGGAAGGTTAGAGCCGCGAGAGTATCAGCAGCTCCTTTTCACTGATTGCACACTGAGTGTGCAAAGTGTTGCCACTAAGTGGCCTGATTGTGAATATGATCTCACTAATGTTTTTTCCACAGCAGCTCTCTGAAGTGAATGTTAGTTATCCATGTTTGAAATGAGTATAGTGGGGCTCTGGGGACTTAACTCACCCTGTTTCCTTTAGGTGGTAAGTGACAGAGCTGAGATTTGAAGCTAAGTGCGTCTTGGCCTAACATCTACCTCTTAATCACTGGGAGGTTCAGCCACGCCTTGCAGCTTTAAGCCCACTCAGCTCCTTGTCTCAGTGTAGTGGAAAGACAGGCACACTCAGACTCAGAGGTCTGCCTTTCCAGTTCCTCGGGCTCCCTCCCACTTCCTGGCTGTGTGACTTGCGGCAAGTCACTTAACCTGTCTGAGCTTACACCTGTCGGTAAAATTGAGTTAGTAAACACAGGATTGTTAGAGGATGAACTGACACCATGTGCCATGTGCCAAATGAGGCACAGTGCTCAGACACACAGTAGGTCCTCAACAGTTGTTGTTGTTGGTGGTGGTGCTGTGGATTCTAGGTATCTGCTGGACGGAACTTAAGCCCTTAGACCCTTGCTGTTTCCACAGGGGCGTTGAATGAGATGAAAGGGTACTCAGCTCAGCTGCCTGATGGGAAATGCTAGCAATTATCATTCAGTCTGCCTCCTTGCTTCTCCTCCAGACATGGCCCATCACCTTTTTTACCTACCTGGGGCATTTTCTATTATAATGATTATTACTACTACATTTCATTGATTCTAGGGAGCCATTGATAATAAGGCACACCTTTATTTTATTTACCCACTAATAAAATATATGTCAGTTAGACTGCGACACGCACTAACTGGAAGTTGCATCCTTGCATTAGAGATGTAAAATGATGGGGAAATGGGCATTTCCGAATGGATGAAATAGTTGGAGGTGCCGTGACCCGTAGACAATGGGGAGCCGCCTCCCAGCCCAGGCCGCAGTTGCAAATCGAGGCCACTAGGAGGCGAGTGTGCGACGGGAGGGAAATGGTCCCCAGACTCCGGGAAGCTCTGGCCGCCTGGTGCAGCACCGCCCCCATACGCTTCCCTCCGCCTGCAGGTGATGCTCAGGAACCGGCAGATCTCACTCCAGGAGCTCTGCAACCAGGAGGACTTCCTCACCAAGCTCAATCAGGATCTGATCAAAACCATCCAGGACATGGAGGACAGCTCAGCCCGGAAAATGCGCAGCATGCTGCAGCAGCAGAACGTCTTTGGGGTGAGGCCTCACCGGTGGCCTTACAGCCCCGCCTCTGCCCTCTAGGTCTGGGACCTGCCCACCACGCCGCCCTCCTGAGCGCTCTGGCGCCCTCTCCTGGCCTCTTCCGGCCGGTTGCACAGCTACCAGGGCTTCGAAATCAGACCGGGTTTGGCGAGGCTCATCCTGATGTCAGTACTTAGTAGCTGGGAGGCTTGGAGTTGACCTCTGAGCTCTGTAAAATAGGGCTCAATAGCACCCATTCCAAAGGTGGCAGGCGGTTTGCACTTGGTACACAGTAGGTGTACAAGAGAAAGTCGCTGCTATCGCAACCAGGCAGCAGCAAATACTTCCACAGTGTAATACTAAGTGCTTTGTGTATACTCAAGTATCCTTACAACAACCTTGTGGGTGGGCATTATTATTATTATTTTTAATTTTACATATGAAGAAATGGGTACACAGACTAGGTGACTTGCTCAAGGTCACTTTCAAGGTCATCCAGCTAGCAAGGGTCAGAGTTGAGATTTGAGCCCAGGCCGTCTGGTGCCAGGATCTGTGTTCCTTCCACCAGCTGCGATTACCACCCTCATCCAGTGGTGGCACTTCCGGTCCACGGGTGAAGAGTGACTCTGCAGAGAGCCCAGGGAATGTCCTCAGCCTCCACCAGGAGAAACTGGGTGAAGCTGTGGTGAGAGGCTAAAGGTTCACAGGGGACCCAGGAGTTGGGGCCGAAGGAGAGGCAGAGAAAGTGGTTTAATGGAGAAGTGAGTGCCCTCTCTGACCGCAGTTGGCCCAGGAAGAAGGGAGGCTGAGTTCCCCAGAGCCTGTGAGGTGAAGAGAAAATTAAGTTTTGGGAACTTGGTTGGTCTGCTTCGGCTGCCATAAGCAAAATACCACAGAAGTTTTGGCTTAAAAAACCAAAGTTTATTTTTCACAGTTCTAGAGGCTAGAAGTCTAAGATCGAGATGCCAGTAGGGTTGACGTCTGGTGAGGTCTCTGTCCCTGGGGTGTAGGCAGATGCCTCTTGTGTGTCGTCACGTGGCCTCATCTCTGTGCTCACCGGGAGCGAGAGATCTCTGGCATCTCTTCCTCTTCTTATAAGGACACCAGTCCTATTGGACTAGGGTCCTATCCTTTTGATCTCATTTATCCTTAACTACCTTCCTAAAGGGCTTATCTCCAAATTCAGTCATGTTGGGGGTTAGAGCTTCAATACACGAATTTGAGGTGGGGTGGGAGGGATACAATTCAGCCCATAACAGAGACCAAGGGCATGCGGGGTTATTCAGCCCAAGGAAACTCAGTGGAATATTTTCCCTACCTAGACAGAGTCGCTGTCTGATTTCCTCCCATTGATCCATTCATTTTTTTTCATCCTGAGAACTTCCTGTAGGCCCTTGGGAAACAGTGATCAGTGGGACACCTTGTCCATATCGAGCTCTCATTCTAGTGGGGTCACAAGCAGTTAGAAAGACACTTGGGTGTACTGTGATGGGGACTCAGGACTCAGAGCACAGTGGGGCTCTCTAACCCAGACACGGGAGGATCAGGAAGGCTTCCTGGAGGAAGTGATGCTTGGGTTGGCACATGCAGCCATAGGTATTAGCTGGCAGAGAGCAGGTGAGTGTTCCAGGCAGAGGAAATGGCTACATGGGCCTGGGGTGAGAAGGAGCTTGGCCAGCCCGAGGTGCCACGTGTTGTGTAGCGTGGCCAGACAGTAGGTGTGAGGAGGGGATCGGAGGGAGGTGAGACTGGCCCAGGCCAGATGGGGGAGGGCCTCGTTTACAGGGCAGCGGGGAGCCATTGGAAGGTTTCAAATAGGAGAGGGAGAAGGTTGCCGTTTTTTAAAGACACATTCTGACTTCTGCATGGAGGATCAGTCAGAGGAGAGGACCAGTCAGGGGTAGCTGTTGCCACATTTCAGACCGGAAATGAAGAGAACTTGAGTAAGGTAGTGGCGGTAGAGAGAAAGGTGTGGCTCTTAGTGCAGTTTGGGGTATAAAGTCCGTACCACTCGGTGACGTTCTGGGTGAGAGAGGGTAGAGACGGATGCCTGGGTTTGGGCCTGCGTGCCCGGCTGGGTGGTGGGGCTGCTGGCTGAAGCGGGAGTTAAGGGGAACTGTGGGAGGGGGTAGGGAAGTGGGTGACTGCTTTCCGACCTCTGGAAGGTTTCTCAGCCTGGGAGTGGGGTTGGGTTTGGGGACCCCTCTTGGGCAGTGCTGAGTCCCCCAAGTGGCCATGCTCTCGGTGGCGCAAGCCAACCCTGCCACTCCCACAGACCATCGTCCACCTCCTGGCGTACTCAAACGAGAAGAAGCTGCAGCAGATGAAGTGTGAGCTGCAAGAGTGGAAGGAGAAGGAGGACTCCAAGATGAGCTGTAAGAACCCATGCGAAAAGCTTCTCGATCTTCACCTGGCCCTCTGGGGAGGTCATCTGCAGGGCGCTCACCTGGTGCCTGCTGTCCTGGAACCACCGGGCCCATCAGTTCCCTTCTTAGGCCGGTGGAAGGACAGAGATCCAGGGCTGATAGCCGGCCAGTGGAGCATTTGGCACTTCCAGGCCCCACGTGTCTTCGTTTTTATGGGCACACTCTGTCGTTTCAACCACCTGTGAGGCAGGGAATGTTCTCCTGTTTCACAGATGAGGAAACTGAGGCTAAGAGAAGTGAAGTGGCCTGCCGAAGGATGCACAGCTAGGGGCCAGAATCCAGTCTGAGCCTGCCTCTGTTTCCTGCCAAGGTGGCTCTGGGAGTCAGTGCCTGGGCCAGGTGCCAGGTCCCCCGGCGTTTATCCTGCTGAGCCCATGGCTGCTTTCCCCTGAGCAGACTATGAGGCCGCCTGAGTGGAGGGATGGAGTGTCAGACAGCCTCAGATACTGGGGATCCCCTCCGAGGAGGACGGCAGGGGAGACCTAATCCTGCTGTGGCTGGGTCTTGGGAGCCAGTGTCGCCCTGTCTCCCTGGGCTTGCCGTGTTGGGGATGTGTGTATGAGGGGACTGATGTCCGGACAGGGACGGTCTTGGTGAGGGTCACAGTGCAAGTCAGTGGTAGAGCTGGGACTAGTCTTGGGATGCTGCACCAGCTTCGTTTCTCTTTCACACCCTGTACGGCTTCTTCTGTGGGGGTAAAAGACTCTCCGGGGCCTTGACTTTTTCACCACCTCCCAGCCTTGTGTAAGCTGGCTTCAGCCCAGAACCCAATCCATTGGCCAAGGAGAGCTTTGCCTCCGTGGGAGGGGGTCCTGGAGGGAGGATCCTGCCTCCTGCCCCTCCTGACCTCTCCAGACCTGAAGCAGCAGGTGGAGCAGCTGAGTGCCAAGATCAAGAAGACGCAGGAGGAAGTGAACTTCCTGAGCACTTACATGGACCATGAGTACCCGGTCAAGGTGGTCCGCATCGACAACCTCGTGCACCAGCTGCGGCAGGTGAAGGACAACCAGCAGGTATGTGAGTCCCTGGCTTTGCCCTGTTGGACCAGCGGGGAGGCAGGGCTGGTGGCCAACATGCTTCTGCTGGTCCCCAGGATGAGTTGGATGACTTGAACGAGATGCTCAAAAAGGTCCTGGAGTCTTTGTCTTGTGAGATTCAGATGAAGAGAAAAAAGCTTCTGAACTCCCTGGTGGTGGTGAGTTGCCGGCGGCTGTGGTGTGTATCCGGGCCCTCCACCCAGGCCTGCCTTCTTCCCCATCCTCTGCCTCCAGGTCCCCTGCGCCCCCACTGGCCTCTGCCATGCACTGCTGTGCAGGAAGAGAGGCACGAGGGGGCCAGACTCTGCTTCATTCACAGAAAACCCAGCAGCCCTGCCAGGAGGTTCTTCTGCAGAAGACCGCGGAAAACCATAACATGGTGAAGCACGCAGACAAGTTCAGAGAAGTGAGTGGGCAGGGACGGTGACGGTCAGTCTGTGAGGGAGCAGGAGGGTGGGCAGTCCCCAGGACCCGTGGCGGCAAGCTGGTCCTGATCTGGTGCTCAGGAGTTCTCGGGAGTCTGGTGTTGGCCCTTCTCCTTGCCGGTGCCATTACTGTCACTTGTCACTCATCTGAGAAGGGGATTTGGGGTGGCTTAGGCCTTGCCTTGTGAACTCTCATCACTGGGCATGACCCATTGGTGACATCACCAAGCAGTGCCCACTCCACCATCATTTTCCTGTCACTAGCCACCCCCTATCTTCACCCCTCAATTCTTGTCTTGACCATCACTCATTACTTGTGTTAATGAACTTCACCATCATTAGCCTCTTCATTTTCATCATCTTGCGCCTTCATCATCTGTCTGTGTCAGTGGCCTTCACCGTCTCTGCCAGCCCTCATTAACCTTCATTACCACGCACTGTCCCCCCGCTTTGCAATGTCTCCATTCTCCGCAGTCCCCTCCCCTTTCTGAGGACCATCGAACATCGTCCCTGACTTGTGAGCCAGGCCCGCCCTGCCCGAGCGGCCCCTCTCTGGAGTCCCCCGATTCCTGGGGACGAAGCCCAGGCCACTTCTCTGAATGTCTGTACTCCTCGTCCATCTTGCTCTCTTCTTCCTTCGGTTGGGGGGAATTTGGCTTCTCAGTTTCCCCTGCTCTTCCCCTCAGTTCACCAACCAGTTCAAGCAGGAAATACCCAAATTGAGGGCCGAGGTGGGACAGCTCCGAGCCCAGGTCCAGGACCCGCGAGAGATCGTGTTTGCAGACGTTCTGCTCCGGAGACCCAAGTACGTGATCGCTGTGCAGGGGCCTCGGTGGAACCGTTCCTCTCGCTCCCGGTGCGGGAAGAGTACTGCCCGTCACTTGCCGAGCCCTCACCACACGCCGGCGTGATCCCATGCAGTCCCCTGCCACCGGCTGAGGTCGAGTTACTCCCCGTTGGCTGATGAGGGACGGAGGCCCCCCGGCTCTGTCCCACAGCGAGGTGCACGGGTGCCAGCTGGAGAGGAGGGGCTCTGAGAGGGGTGACAGGGTGCTCGGGGTGGCTTGGAGCCGGGTCTCCACACGGGTCACCGACTCCAAAGACAGCGTTTGACCCGAGGGGCCCCAGTGTTTCAGAACCGGCTTCCTGCTCCCTCTTGACCGTGGTCTCTGCAGGGCCTTGTCAGTCCTGTCACACCCGCCCCTTTTCCGAGCGAGTGTGTTGTGCTGTGCACGGGCACGCCCTCACACAGTTGGGCTGCGAGGTTGCAGATGTGTTTTGGGTGGGGCTCCCCAAGCAAGTGCCTGTGTTCTAAAGAGCAGGGCTTCCCCGAGGACATGCTTGCCCACCCTATAACTCTGGCTCCTGACCTTGGCCTCTCACGCCCCCTCTTTGCTCTTTCCTGCCAGGTGTACCCCAGACATGGACGTCACCCTCAACATCCCCGTGGAAGAGCTGCTACCCTTCTAGGTGGCAGGGCCACGGCTGCCCCTGCTTCCCTGCTCTCTCCCCTACCGCTGGAGCCTTGAGTCGTCTCCTTCCCAGGCCACATCCGCATTCAGACCCCACTCGTCTGCCTCCCCCTCATCCTTCCCCTCTGTCCTCCCTCTCTCCCTCCTCCTCTTGGTTTGGTGCTGCTGCTTGGGCCAGGTGGGAATTTCCAGTCAGGTCTACCGTTTCTTTTTGCCAATAAAGCTGGATTTGCATTTGCACTTTGCCGGTGCCTGGGGATTCCCGGCAGGCCTTGTGAGAAGATGCAGTAGTAATGGACTTTGTCTTCACATGAGGGCAGCTGTGCTGGCTGCACAACTTCCTGAGGAATGCCACACTGACCCCTGCCTGAATCTCCATGGCTCTGTGGCTCCAGCCCCCCCTTCCTGGTGCAGTGGAAGCCCAGGTTCCTGCCCAGGTTGTGCCCAGACCTGTTCAGACTGGTGCCGACAAGGGCCAGGGGAGAGGGGAGACTCCCTGAGTTTGGTACACATGGGGACTGGCTGGGCCCTCATTGCGATGGCCGTCTCTCGTCTAGTCCCACTGTCTGTCTGTCCATGGCCTCACCCCAGCTATGTATGGACACGTACACAAACTAATGCTCAGGTGCACAGTGAGGCACAGGTCCCCACTCCATGCACCATCCAGATCCCCCTTGGAGCACGGGCTTGCTGCTCGGGTCACTGGGAGTGCCGTGGCGGGTGGCCGTCAGCTGTCAGGCCCTTTAGGGTTTGCCTGGGCTGCAGAAAGTTACTGTTTTACTTTCCCACAGGGTTCCAATTTCTCATATCCTCATTTACAGTTATTTTATTCTCTTTTTATTTTTAAAAATATTTTATTTATTTTTAGAGAGGGAAAGAGAAAGAGAGGGAGAAAAACATCAATGTGTGGTTGCCTCTCATGCATCCCCTACTAGGAATCTGACCCACAACCCAGACCTGTGCCCTGACTGGGATTTGAACCAGCGATTCTTTGGTTTACAGGGCAGCACTCAATCCACTGAGCCACACTAACCAGGGCCAGAGCATGTTGTCCTAACATTGAGTCTCTTAATGTTAGCATCCTTTGCCATTTGGGTAGCTTGGGTATTTCTAAAACCATCAAATTGTGCTTGCTTTTGGGGTAACAGTTCTCTCCTCAATTTATCTCTCTTTTTTCACATTTTACTATAAGCAGCAAGAAATCAGGCTTCCCCTGCAACACTTTGCTTGGAAACCTGAGTGTTCAGGTTCATGGCTTACAAGGTCTTTCCACACAGCAGGACACGGGTCCCCTAAGCCACAGGTACAGGACCCCTAGCCTCCGTTTTGCAGTGTTGTGTTGCTCGTTGTCTCCTGACTTCCCACCAGCATCGCCTTTAACATCCACAAGTCTACCCACAGTCTGTAAATGAAAATTTCATTGTGAGCGCTGCCCCCCTTTGCCATGTATCGTGAGGTATTCACAGGTTCCAGCGACTGGGATGTGGATTTCTTTGAGGGGACACTATTCTGCCTCCCACACTTCCTCTAGCCACATTGCACTTCTGCGGAGAAGCCCCCTTTCTCCACACCAGGGGAGTTTTGTCCCCAAGGCCCACCCAGCACTCAGGCAATCTGCGGGGGGTCTTGGAGCCTATGCTTGCTTATGCCCGAGACCTTGAGTCACGTCTGGGGCACGGTTTCTTCCCTTTTTTGTTCTGTGGCAACCCGAGTTCCCAGTACAGGAGAGACAGGAATCCAGCCCAGATGAACCCCATTCGGACGGGCTTGACAGCCTGTTTTCCAGAAGCATCCCTCTCACCTGTCCTCTCCTGAACAGGCACGGAGCCCTCCTCATGTGGGTGGGAGCCCATCTTCCTGGTAGTCTTGGCTGCAGAGGCCGGCTGGCCAAGAGCATGGAAGGTGGCCCCGTGGCTCATCAGTTTGGGTTGGGAATGTCCCATACCCACCCTAGGAGACAAATGAGCCCCAAAAGATCGAAGCGTGGCAAAAAGGCCATACAATGATGGGTCATGGTCATGGTCATTGTGGCTGAATCCCACCGTTGTGGGTGCATGGGAAGGAGCAGGGAGCGAGGGGAGTTGCCCAGGGGTCAGCAGGGTTGAGCCCTGGGCTGACAGCACCCAGTGGGAAGGCCCGGCCAGGTGTTTGAGGTGTTTCTCAGGAGTATCAGTTTTAAGTTACTCTGCCCACGACTCACTGTCCACACCATAGTGTCTGCGAAGCTGGGTGCCTTGCCTCCACCTCGAGTGAAAGTTCATCATTGTTATTAGTGAGGAGTTGGCCCTTGTGTCCTTGGAATTTGGGCGAAGCTTCATCCAGATTCCAAATCAGCATACTTGGGGCCATGGTTGGTGGGGCAGGGGGACTAGATAATGAAAGGGTCCCACGCTGGCATCTGCGGTCAGCCCGCCCACCCCCGGTTACTGAGCAGTACAGGGCAGCAGGAGTGAGAGCAGCTGTGTGCAGGTGGGGAGGAGGAGGGGGAAATCGCTTGGTGTTGCCTTTAATGGCAGGAACGGGTGTCTCCAGAGCATTTTTGCGAAGGTGTAAAGTGCCCCAAAGGGGGAGAATTGAGCGTGATAAACTGTGTGAGCAGGCATAACGCAGGCAGTGTTAGATGACCAGGCATTTTTAAATTTTAGCAGGGGACGTTTGAAAAGCCTATTCTGGCACTCAGTCCAGCTAATCGAGTAAATATAAGTTTCTTGTTCTAAGGCTCATCTCTGTGTATAGTGTGAAGTTCCCTGATCTTAATCTAGTTGAGCACACCAGTAGGATTTAGGAGGGTTTTGGTAAGGTTCTGGGCTCGGAGTCACACAGAGCCCAGTGGATGCCTGCACTAAGCCATTGTGTCGACTTTGGCGTGGACATACCGAGGATAACCAGAAGGTGGAGGTAAAGGGCAAATAAAATGAACATATCGAGCACTTGAAGGTCTGGCTCCTGGGGAACGGAATGGATCCCCAGCTTGTAAAATCGCCAGTGGCATGTTTTATTGAGGAATTCACGATTGGAGACGATCATTTTGGCTATCAGTGTGCAAGTGGGAGGTCTTTGGTTTGCTCCTGTTGCTATTGCTCGCTCCCTGTCCACCTGAACCGGCCTCCAGCCTCATCTCACCATTCTCCTGTGCCCGTTTCTTAGTCCCACCAGCCTGCCTTACTCCCGCCAAACAAGCTCCTTCCCGGCTCAGCCTCTGCAGTGGTTGGTCCACTGACCTGAATGCTATTCTCCAGGTCTCCGTGCAGCTGAGTCGCCATGCCCTCTTAGTTCTAGTTTCTTTTCTCAGCGAGGTCTTGCCTGACCACCATTTCCCCTTGCCCATTGCTCTCCACCACATCGCTGTTGCGTTTTCTTTAGAGCAGCGATCACCATCTGATATTACACGTTCATTTTGGCCGGTTATGTTTGTTACCGGATTCCCCCAACCATAAGGTAAGCTGTATGAGTGTGAGCAATTTGTCACTCTTGTTCATGGCTGCCGCAGTGCAGAGAGCAGCACCTGGCATACAGGTGGTGCTCAATAGTTATTTATTCCATTATTGAATGGGTGAACTGGCTCTAGCTATTGAAAGCCAGGTTTCAGCAGTGACACTTGCATTGACGTGGCAATAAAGCCGCATTTTAGGAGGACATCCAATGACGGAACAAAACAGAGCACAGGCTCACACCCTGCCCTGTGAGACTCTCGCCGGTCTGTGGGCCTGTGACCGACCGCCAGGGGTGCTCCTCCGCTCCCTCCCACACTGCTGAGGCAATAAACGGAGAGCTGGGAACCTGAGCTGTCCCTCCGCTCTTTCTTTGAGTACCTATATTTTACATTTTTATTGAATTAATTGGGGTAACAAGGGTTAATGAAATTATATATGTTGCATGTGTACAATTCTACAACACATCACCTGTGTATTGTACTCTGTGTTCACCACCCAAAGTCAAGTCTCCTTCCATCACCATTTCCCTCCTTGACCCTCCTCTTCCTCCCCATCCTGCTTTCCCTCCAGTAATCTCCACGCTATTGTCTGTGTCTCTGAGTTGTTCTCTGCTTAATCCCCTTATCTTTTTCACTCAGCACCCCCTGTGCCCCCGCACCCAGGGTTGTCAGCTGTTCTCTGTATTTATGAGTCTGTTTTTATTTTGTTAGTTTATTTCAGGGGTGTAAAACTCATTTTCACCAGGGACCACATCGGCCTCCCGGTTGCCTTCAAAGGGCTGAATGTAATTTTAGGACTGTATAAATGTAACTCCACCTTAACAGTAAAGGAGTTGAAATTACATTCAGCCCTTTGAAGGCAATCATGAAACTGATGTGGCCCCCAGTGAAAATGAGTTTGACACCCCTGACTTGGCATAACAATCTCCAGGTCTATCCATGCTGTTGCAAAAGGTAAGAATTCCTTCCTTTATATGGCTGTGTAGTATTCCATTGTGTAAATGTACCACAGCTTTTTTATCTGCTCATCTACTGGTGGGCAGTTGGACTGTTTCCATATTGCGGCAATTGTAAATAACATTGCTATGAACATAGGGGTGCATATGTTCTTTCGAATTAGTGTTTTGGGATTCTTAGGATATATTCTCAGTAGTGAAATCACTGGGTCATAAGGTAGTTCCATTTTTAGTTTTTTGAGGAAACGCCATACTAACTTCTACAGTGGCTGCACCAGTCTGCATTCCCACCAAGAGTGCAGAGGGGTTCCTTTTTCTCCACATCCTGGCCAGCACATGTTTGTGGATTTACAAGTGTGAGGTGATAGCTCATTATGGTTTTAATTTGCATGTCTTTGATTAGTGATGTTGACTATCTTTTCATATGTCTATTGGCCATCTGTATGTCCTCGTTGGAGCAGTGTCTATTTAGGTCTTTTACCCATTTTTTAATTTTTGGTGTTGAATTGTATAAGTTCTTTATAAATTTTGGACATTAACCCCTTATCAGATGTATCATTGGTGAATATGTTCTTCCATTCAGTGGATTGCCTTTTCATTTTGTTGATGGTTTTCTTTGCCTTGCAAACACTTTTTAGTTAATGTAGTCCTATTTGTTTATTTTTTCTTTTGTTTCCCTTGCCCAAGAAGATATATCAGAAAAAAATACCGCTATGACAAATGTCTGAGATTTTACCCTTTCTATTTTCTTCTAGGGTTTTTATGGTTTGGAATCTAACACTTACGTCTTTGATTCATTTTGGGTTTATTCTTGTGTGTGGTGTGAGAAGGT